TACTTCACCTGGGGCATAACAGATTCTGCTCCAGCCCTTTAGCTGTGTGTTTCTTTCTGTTTCAACTGTTTCTTGTAAACAATATATTGTTGGATTATGGTTTCTGATCCATTCTGCTATCCTCTTCTGTTTTATGGATGAATTAATCCCATTTACATTCAGTTATGATTGTTGTGTATTTCCCTCTATCCTATTCGCTTATACTTATCCTTCTCTTTTTTTTACCCCCTCTTCAAGAGTCTGTTTTGCTTTTGACCACTGCCTTCCTTAATCTACCCTCCCTCTCCTTTCTCTTAAACCCTTTGCTTCCTAATTCCCTGTTGGGCAAGATGGGATTTCTGTACCCAATTCTGTGTGTGTATGTATGTATGTATGTGTGTGTGTGTATATATATATATATACATATATATGTATATATATATATGTATATCTATTCTTCCCTTCTTGAACTAGTTCAGATGAGAGTGAGCTTCAAGTGCTGCCCACTCCTCCCCTCCCTTGTATAAACTCTTGCACACCCTATTTATGAAAGATTTTCCCTCATTCTTCCTCTCCCTTTTCCCACTGTATTCCTTTCTCACCTTTCCATTCTTCTTTTGAGATTATCCTAACATAATAAAATCACACTTATGCACTCTGTCTAGGTTACATGTATCATCTTCCCACATAGGGATGTAAATACTTTAACCTTGTTTAGTCCCTTATGATTTCTCACTCATATATTTACTTTTTTTATTCTTCTCCTGAGTTTTGTATTTGAATGTCAGATTTTTTATTTGGCTTTGTTTTTGTTTTTGTTTTTAATCAGGAATGCTTGAAAATTCTCTATTTCATTAAATATCTACTCTTCCCCCTGTAGGATTATACTCAAGTTTTGCTAGGCAGGTAATTCTTGGTTGAAATCCTAGTTTCTTTGTCTTCCAAAATATCATATTCTAAGCCCTCTGCTTCTTTAGCATGGAAGTTGCTAAATCTGTATGATCTTAACTGTGGCTCAAAAGTATTTGAATTCTTTCTATCTGGCTGTATATAGTATTTTCTCCTTTACCTAGGAAATTCTGGGTTTTGGCTATAATATTTTAGGAAGTTTTCATTTTGGAATTTCCTTCAATCTTTATTTTGCTCTCTGGTTGCAAGACATCTGGGCAGTTATCCTTTATAATTTCTTGAAATGTGATGTCTAGGTTCTTTTGTTTATGCCTTTCAGGCAGTCCAATGATTCTTAAATTATTTCTTTTTGACTTATTTTCCAGGTCAGTTGTTTTTCCTGTGAGATATTTCACACTTTCTTCTATTTTTTTGTCTTTTGACTTTGTTTTTATTGTTACTTGATGTATCATGGAGTCACTAGCTTCCACTTGGCCCCTTCTAATTTTTAAGGATTTATTTTCTTCAGTATTTTTTGTGCTTCTTTTACCAAGCTGTTAATTCTCTTTTCATATTTTTACACAGCTCTAATTTCTTTTCCAAATTTTATCCTTTTTTGCTCTTATATGCTTTTTCAAACCAATGTTTTGCTTTTTTTTTTTTAACTTTTAAAACTCTTCTAGTAATTCTTATTGAGCTTGTTCATTTTTCTTTGAGGCTTTGCTTGTAGATGTTTTCAAGTTATTGTCTTCTGTGTTTGTCTCTTGAACTTCCCTGCAACTATAGTAGGTTTTTAAGGTCAATTCCTTTTTTTGTTTTTTTGCTCATTTTCCCAGCATAGTTGTTGACCTCAGACCTTATATTAGTGTTGGGTTCTGTTCACTTCTGGGGATATCTATTCTGAGGTTCTTTTATGTGTTTCTGCTGCTTTCACAGCTCAATCTGGAGGCCTGTAATTTTTCAGTGCTTATAGAGGGGTGCTGATCCGGGAAGTGGTCTGTGCTCTGCAAATTCCTGACCGGATTTGGGTCTGTTGGCTTGTGTGTGGTTGTTTCCACAGCCTTGGGAGGTTCTGCAAGTAACCCTTGGATTTGATCTCCTGCCCTAGTTTATTCTACTCCAGGCTTACGTGTGGGGCTCTTCTGCTCCTGGGTTCAGAGCCACAATTATGGTTCTAGAATCTGCTCCTTGCTCTTGGCACAGGCAGGGCCTCTGCCCCGTGGACTGCTCCTCTCTCCTCTGGACCTGTGCCCAGAACAGAGCTGCCACATGACACCCATTCCTGTTTCCTGTGCTACTATAGAGGTCCCCTGGGATCCCCAATGCTCAGCCCTCTGTCCCTGAGTGGACAGGTCCCTGCCAATGCTGTTGCCTACACCCCAGCTAGCTGCCAATTCTACCTGCTGCCACGTTGTGCTCCTGGCCAGCCCCCACCCCAATGCTTGCTGACCTCTCTAGCTTCCTAAGCTGCCCTGGACTGGAAAAATGACCCATTGTGACTTTTTCTTAGCTTTCCTAATCAGAATTCAGTCTGGTGCTTTCTTTAAGTCATTGTGGAGGAGGCTGTGAAGGAGTTAAGGCAAAACTGCTACTTTGAGACCACCTGTGGCCTTCCAGGTCCTTGGGGGTGGCCTTTTGACTGAGTCTTTACAGTTTTACAGAACCAATCCTTTTGTTAGGGGGATGTGTTCTGTGAAGTTTGGACTCAAAGGGCCACACTTGAGGAGCTAGAGGGCCATATGTGACCTCGAGGCTGCAGGTTCCCCACCCGAATCTTGACTCTATTCCCTCTAAAAATTTCCAGGAAAGGCGGGGCCACCATTTCTCAGGGATGTTGAAGAGGGGATACTCGCTTCTGGTGGGCTTGGACTAGAGGCCCTCTAGCTGCGATTCTCTCATCAGCCTCTGACTGACCTGCCAATCATCTGGACAAATCCCCTATAAGCTTGATTGCAAAGTAAGCTCCAGGGCCTCCTTCTGATGTGGAATAGACCATCCCAAGCCAAGGGGACTCTTCCTGAGTAGGCTTGAACCCTTCATAAAAACCCAGAAGTGAACCTGCTCACAGGCTGAGCAGCCTGGAAGGGTATGAATTGTGCATGTGTTGAGAGGGCACCTGGGGTAGGAAGGGATGAACGGGACCATGGAACCCCTACCCTGATGTGGAGATCTGAGGATCCAAAGGTCCATTGATCTTTGAATGGCATTAGTCAGTCAATACTTGAAATGAACTGGATCCTTTGCTCTGCTGAGCTGAAACCATCCCACTCTTACTCAGGGAGGTCTCAGCTTACCCTTACTCAGGCCCTTTCCATCTCATCACTACCTCTATTGCCCAGGGTTCCTCTGGCCTGACTAAAGGCTGCAGAGCTGGGTTTCCCAACTGGAGGCAAACCCCTCTCCTAAAGCCTTCCCTGGAAACCCTCCTCAAAGCTCACCATTCAATTCAACTGAACTTCACATTAATTCCATACACTCCAGGAGAATCTTGGGGTGTACACAGTATGTATACAGGGACCTCTTCCACAGCCTCAGCTTGTAACAGTTATTGTCGAAGCCTCAGCCAGGTGAGCCAAGAGCCCATTAACGGTCTGACTGCTGCGTGGCCGGCTCCCCAGCTGGTCAGTGAAGAGACGGGAGGGAGGGATTTTTTCCTTTCACATCAGTATTTTGTCTCCTGCCTCTCTGATTCACTTATAATAATAATGATGATTTATATGTATACAGGGCTTTAAAAGCTGCCAAGCTCTTTACACACAAACAGCTGTGGCTGGTCCTCACAACACTGTAAGTTGTGTCCTGCTGGTAGTAATATGCCTATTTGACAGATGGGGTTAAAGTCACTTGCCCAGGGCCACAGAGCTAGTACTGGAGACAGAATTTGAACAAAAGTCTTTGCTGACTCACAAGGCCAGTACTAGTCCCACAATTTACCCCATGCCTGTGTACTAGGCACCTACGTCTGTCTCATCCCCTTACTAGACTGTGAGCTCCGTGAACACAAGAGCTGTAAGACAGAGGTGTCATACTGGCAGCCAAGAAAACCCCTAAGCTGACCTGAACCAGGTTAAAATGTAACTGGGAAAAGTTTAACAAAATAAGTAAAAATACAACGTAGGTAATGTTAATCTATGGTTTTCAAAGTCAACCGGCAGCCCACAGGGACCCTTTCTGCTTGACTGTGACCTCGCTGCTGTATCACAGAACAACACAGTGCAGAGTTCGGGGCTTGGAGTCAGGAGAGACCTGGGTTTGAATCCCAACCACAACACTCATTTGCTAGGTGTACCTAGGAATAGATTTCCTGACAGTAAAACAGGAATGTATTTCATGCAGTTGTGAGGAACATACTTTAAGATTTAATAACTGCCATTTGTATAGGGTTTTAAAATTCAGGAAGCAGTTTATGTAGGAACAGAAGACACCTCAATAAGGACGCTGCTCCTGGGAAAAGATGGGCCAGTGACAGAACAAAAGGGGAGCAGACGGACTGCTCAGGTACCGTGCTGCTATCCATGGACCACTCCGAGCCCCAGAGAGAAGTCTCCAGAGGCCCTGTGGAGGGCCTGCCTCAGAAGTGCTGCTACAGAGAAGGTATGCAGGGGCCAGGAGCTGGGCAGCGTCTGCTAAAGTATCCAAGGGTTCAGGTGAAAAGGTTCTGATAGAGGGACCCCTCTCCCACCCACCCTGGGTCTGAGGGGTGACCCGGGGCTGGTCCTGGGGCTTCTCTGGGTCTTGATTCACCTGTGCAGTGAGGGGGCTGGGCTGGACTAGAGAAGTCTGTGCTCCTGTAACCACGCAGCAAGGAAGGCAAGGGCACCAACCAACTCTTTCCACCCGTTCCATTGTGGCAGGCGGCACAGAGGCAGTGGTTCCGTGGAGGTCCTTCTGGCTAGTGGCCAATGCCCAAGGGCTGGCCTGATACTTGTAGGAGAGAACCAACTGGCCACTGGCCAGGATTCCCAGGGGACTTAAAACTACCGCTGCCACCTCTGCCCAAGTTCCACCAAGCTGGGCATCCAGAAAGAAAAACACACGTGGGCACAAAAGAGAAGATGCCTGGCTTCTGAGGTTCCATGGGTCTCCCATCCCAACCATCAGGGACCTCACCAACCACACACGGGGCGAGGGAACGCGTTCTAAAGTCCTTTATTTGGGCAGGGCCTGGTCACAAGCTGCCCTCAGGAGAACAAACGTGGCACCACAGCTTTAGGCTCCTGAAACCCAAGCCCTCTTCACTACCACCCATGACAATGTGCCTGAGCCAAAGTCGGAGCTTCATTTCTGGCCCTTCAGGTAGTTCCAGGCTTCTCGACTGTACACCTGGATCGTTGAGGGGGCAGCGGACAGTGAGTCCATCAAGCTGTTGATACCTGCAGGGGAGGAAGCATTTGGTTACCCTGGGGATGGGGGGAGTCCCCAAGATTCCACTGAAAACCAGCCCACGGTAAGGAGGTCAGAAATGCCCCCTCACCGGTGTCCTCCAGTGAGGTTTCCAGCCTAGCTCCGCCTCTGATGGGGAGAGTGAGAGCTGTCCTGAGGACAGAGGGTTCTGGGTTGTAGAAGTTCAGAAAGTGCCCTGAGGCCCCCTCCCCAGGTCCCCTTAATAATATGTCTGAGGATTTCCCCAAGAATCTCCACATTTACACCTCTCAGAAAACTAGTGGTTTCAAGGCAGAGCCATTGAGCCAGGACCTCAGGGATCATTGGGTTATAGTCTAGAATTGACACGAGAGAAAGCTGAGCCCAAAAAAGGGAAGGGACCTGCACAAGATCACTCCTCCGTCAGCAACGGCTCCAGGGCAGGCATCTCTTCAGTCTAGAACGGGCCCTCCCTTAGTCTCAGCATTGTGGGATTTGGGGAACAAGGTCACATTCCCACCCTGCAGCAGAGGTGGTGAATGAGTGACTGCTGGATTTGGAGCCTGACGACCTGGGTTCAAAGCCCAGTGCCACCACTTATTAGCTAGCTATGTTATGCTTCCCCCCAGAAAGGGGCTTCTATCTGCCTTAATTTCTTCATCTGTGAAATGGGGATCTTTGTCCTGGCTGCCTCCCAGGGCACCACAGAAATGAGAGCTGTTATCTCTCACCCCCACAGCTTTTATGCCTTTGCTCCCTTCCATGTGTGGGGCAGAGCTGTCCGCACAGAGTGCAGCACGCAGGCTCGTCCTTGGCTCCCGTCTGCACCCATCTGGCTCCCTCTGCTCACTGTTCTCTGGGCCTCTGAGTACTCCTCGAAGCACGGTGACTGGACCTGGGTCTCTCAAGTGCCCTTTGCTTAGTAACCCCTGGGCTCCCAGAGCGAGGGAATCAGAGGAGCTAAAACTGGAAAGGCCCCCAGACATCACCCAGTCCCACCTCCCCATTTTAGAGATCACTAAACTGAGGCCTAGAAAGGTGAAGTCACTTGTCTAAAGTCACACAGATGCTAAGTCACAGAGCTGAGATTCAAACCCAGATCTTTGGACTCCAAATCATCAGTCTTCCTCATGGGGCAGAAGAAATCTTGGTCTCAAGGGAGATCCTACCCAGAACAATCACTCCACAAGCATTTCCAATGTACCTCATCTGAAACCCTAATGCTGCCCTGGCCAGGTCATCTGTTTTCATGGGTCCCTGTCTCCTCTCCTCTTCCCAAAGGGAATGCCATAGAACAGTTCACATCGCTACAATTCTTAAAGGTTGACAAATGGCCTTCTTCACAACAGCAGCCCTGCAAGGCAAGAACTACAAGTATGATTGTCCCCATTTTACTGATGCAGAAATCAAGGCTCAGATAGGGGAAATGAGGCCTGTGGCCGCATCATCTAGTAAATGATGGAGCTATGATTCAAACCCAGGCCTCCTGAATCCCAAGACCAGCCTCTTCTCACTATCCACACAGCACCTGCCCTTCTGCCCTGCTCGCTCCCCAGATAACGCAGGTTTGGCAGCAGGTTTCTCGGCCCCCTAATTTCTTGATCAACTGAGCCCTTGGCCTGCAGGTGTTATTATGTTTTTCTTAATGCCAAGTCAAAATCGGTCTTTGCAACGGCATTCACTCCGGCTGGGGCTGCTCTCCAGGGCCAAGAAACTCTGTGTAGTCCCCTTTACCCACAACAGCCTGTCTGCCAAATATTTAAAGACAGTTACATCCCCCTTAAATTATCTCTTCTCCAGGCTAGCTGTGCCCATTTCCTTCAACTGATTTTCCAAGCAGCCAAACTGAATTTTTTCAAAACTTTCCATAATTCAGACTTCTCTTCCCTCTCCCTTCCCGCTGACTTAGTGTCAATTAGTGAGGCCCCCCACACCACTAGATATGTGTTTTTATTTCCTTTAGTTCCCTACTGCCTCTAAAATAAGATATAAACCCCCCAGGGTGGCACGTAAAGTCCTTCACAATCAGCTTCCAACTCCTCTCTCTAGGCTTACTATTCATGGTTGCCCTCTTCACACACTCAACACTCCAGCCCGGCTGGTTTTCCTGCTGTTCCTCAAAGCCGGTATCTCACATCTCTCACCCCTGTGCCTTGCCTAAGCTGTCCCTTACCCCTGAACTGCAGTCCCTCTTCCCCTCTATCTCTCTGGGTCCCTGGCTCCCTTCCAAGCTCAGCTCAAGAGCCAGCTCCTAAGGCCTTTCCTAATTCCATCTCCCTCTCCCCCAGTGATCCCCACTAACTTTGTATACTTTATACATGTTTATTTCATGGGTGCTGTTTCCCTTGACAAAACATAAGCTCCTTATCAGTGCCTAGCATATAGTAGGCACTTAATAAATGCTTGTTGTTTGGCCTGCATTTGACTCCAAAACCAATCCCGTCAAAACTTAACAGCCACAAGGACTTTCCCCACTGAAGCCCATTCTACAGAACACGGTATTCCATGTTACTGGTTGGGGCTCCATCAAGTCAACCAGCCAAACAGCAAGGATTTGCCAATGATATACAAGAGAACTTTGAGTAAGTCCCTTCCCCTTTCTGGGCCTCATGTTCCCAATCCATAAAATGGGGCGGCACTGGACTAAATGATCTGAGGTCCCTTCTGGCTCTGACATTCCACAAGTGTCAGTGTTTGGAGAGTGGCTCAAATGCACCCTATTCTGTGTGAGGAGCCCATCACCCAGGGTTGATCCCATGGTTAGCCATATGGCCCTCTGCCCCTCTAATGCTGCCAATGCAGGGAGATCCTGGGGTGGACGGACCACCCCAGGGGAAAACTGAAGGGATGGCAAAGGGGCAGAAGGTGCTGGGATAGGTCTGGTGGTCCAGAGAGCAGGGCAGTGCCTGAACAGCAGCATTCTTCCTCAGCAGAAGGGACACTGCTGCAGACTCTTAGTAAGTAGAGTCCATGGTCCTACCTGAGTTCCAGCTGTCTCGAAGGTTAATGTTGAAATGTGGAGTGGATGGCAGCTGAGAAAAGAGGGAAAGGAGCATGAATCACATGCTCCAACATCAGACGCCCACCTCCCTGCTCTGCTGGGGGCCCTCCAGGATGCAATGAAACAGGTCTCAAAGTCAGAGGCTTGCTCTGAACCTGGATCCAGGACTTAATCTGATGGCCACAACGAGCCTGAAACCTGGCCTCAGACAGAGCCTGAATCACAACATGAAAGCCTTCAGTCATCAAGGGCTTAATGAAGTTCAGGTGAGAGTGCACAGGTAGCTCAGGCCAGCCTATCCTCACCCTGCCTGGCCCCACCCCCCCATCCCACTGACCAGAAAGGTCAGGAAAGTTACAATCAGAAAAAATGTTGAATTATTATTACCCTGTCCCAGGAAGAGCAGATACTTTCCCTCTTCCTAAAAGCTCATCTCCTCTGCCTGGGTCCATGAAGTTCTGGACCAATTCCCCACCCCTAACCTCCCCACCCAACCCCCAGACCCCCTGTGGTACCTCCAACCGGACGCCCATGTGCTTCGAAATTAAGTCTGTGTAACGGCTGAAGGCGACTGGGATTGCCTCCTGAGCCCTTAGTAGGGCAGCCTGACCCTGGTAACTTGGCCCCAGCAGCCCCTGATCGTAAACCAGGTATACGGACCCACCAGCCAAGCCAGCCTTGATGAAAAACCTGGGGGGTAGGGGAAGAGAAACTGTTTGGAAATGGTGGAAAAACCCTAGGCTCTAACCTAGATTCTAATATCAGTTTAATCACTGATTCCTTCTGCGACCCTTCCGCAAGGCCCTAAAACTGGGTCTCAATTGCCCCATTCGAAAACAAAACAAAACAAAAAACAAGGGGGGTGGGTTAGATCTTCCAGCTCATTTTTACCACCCTGAAAAGCACCCCTTCTCCACTGTTAGCGGAATCCCGGTCTTCCCTTCAAGGCCTGGCTAGGGTGACATCACTTTGGGGTGGTTTCTTCTCCTCCTCTACCCCCCATTGATCTGTCTACCTGTGTACTCTCCCTCCACCCCCACCTCGTGGAGGACAAGGGACTCTTGTCAACATCCCCCAGAGGTGAGCACACACTCACTCAAAGAAACTGTTCAGCAGGGAAGTGAATTCTAATTCTGGCAGTCCCATGGACCCTTCCCCATTCAAAAAGCTTGGTTCCCTAGAGTTCACAGATCTACAGTTGGAAGGGGAAGGGGGAGTAAGACGAGGAAAGCATCTAGTTTGACACCACCCCCCCTTTTAAGAGAAAATAGTAAACATTTCAGCTCGGCGCTTTTATCTAAAACACTGCGCTTTAAGGACTGCAAAGCACTTTACATAGGTTCGTTTAACTGAATCTTATCACTATTTTTATTATGGTACAACTTATTGGCACTGCTCCAGACTTTAAAAAACCCCTGCAGGCATGATGTCACCGGAGTCCCGCAGTAGCCCTGGGAGGTGGGTAATAATAAAACGAGTAATAGCACGCAATAGTACAGCGCTTCGAAGTTTGCGAAGCGCTTTACAAACACTATGCCGCTTTATCCCCACCGCCTGCCCTGGGAGGCGGGTGCTACCAGTGCCCCTATTTTGCAGATGGGCAGGCTCGGCCAGATGCTGCTAAAAGGATTTGCTCAGATCACAGGCCCACGCTCCCTAGCAGCCCCCGATTTCCAGACCAGGTCAATGAGGCTCAGAGAAATGAAGCGATTTCTGCGGGGTCGCCCAGCAGGTAAAAGGGTCACGGCCCCCAGCTGCGCTCGCGCTCGGCCCGGCCCGGCCCTTCCTGCCTTGTGCCGCCCCCGGCCCCGGCTGTCAGAAGGCCTACAAGGGTCCTCCCGGCCCGGCACCGCGTACACACTCAGGCCCAGCTCCCGGCAGGCCCGCCTCCCCCCACCCCGCGTGACTCGAGAAACGGGCGCGCGCGCTCACCCGAACACGGGCCACAGGCGGGAAGCCATGGTCGCCGAGCTCCGCTGCTCTGCGGCCACTCAAGGACACGGAGCTCCACCTGCCCGCCGGAGACCAGGTCCCCGCTGCGCCCGGGGCAGTCCCGGCACTGGAGAGCGCGAGCTCAGGACTCTGGGAGCTGTAGTACAGACCGCGGCCCCCAAGGGGGCATCTGGGAGATGTAGTCCCAGACGCCGGGAGCCCTCGCTAGGGTGTCTGGGAGTTGCAGTCTTTCTGTTCTCCTCTTCCTTCCTCTTGGGCCTCAGCTGCTAAGGAAGGTCCCTGGACTGGGCTGCAGAGCTGCAGCTGGCGCGATAGATGCTGCCTCAGACGTTTGCTAAATGTGTGACCTTAACTAACCTATTTCTGTCTCACTTTCCACTTTCTGGAAAAGAGGGATGAAGCCTTCCCAGTACAATCAGAGTGAAGCAAGGATGCCCATTATCACCTCCACTATTTAATACTGTACTAGAAATGTTAGCTATAGCACTAAGGGAAGAAAAAGGAATTAGAACAGGCAATGAGGAAACAAAACTATCACTCTTTGCAGAAGACATGATGTTACACTTAGAAAATCCTAGAGAATCAACTAAAAAACTACTTGAAATTATCCACAACTTTAGCAAAGTTGCAGGATACAAAATAAACCCACAGAAATCATCAGCATTTCCATATATTAACAACAAAGACCAGCAGCAAGAGCTAGAAAGATAAATTCCATTAAAATAACTGTAGACAATATAAAATACTTGGGAGTCTATCTGCCAAGATAAACCCAGGAACTATATGAACACAACTATAAAACACGTTTCCAACAAATAAAGTCAGACCTAAACAATTGGAAAATATAAATTGCTCATGAGGAGGCCGAGCCAATATAATAAAAATGACAATTCTCCCTAAATTAATCTATTTGTTCAGTGCCATGCCAATCAAACTATCAAAAAATTTATAGAACTAGAAAAAATAATAACAAAATTCATCTGGGAGAATAAAAGCTCAAGGATATCAAGGGAATCAATGAAAAAAAAATTCAAAAGAAGGTGGTCTAGCCCTACCAGATCTCACTGTCACAAAGCAGTAATTATCAAAACAATCTGGTACTGACTAAGAAATAAGAGTGGTGGATCAGTGGAATAGATTAGGTACAAATTACATTATTGTAACTAACCATAGTAATTTAATATATGATAAACCTAAAGGGCCAAGCTTTTGAAACAAAAACTCGTCATTTGACAAAAACTGGGAAAACTGGAAAACAGTATGGCAGAAACTAGGCATAGATCAGTGTCTCACACCATCTACCAAGATAAGGTCAAAATGACTTACACATAAAGGGTGAAACCATAAGCAAATTAAGAGAGCATGGAATAGTTTATGTCTGATTTATGGATAACAGAAGAATTTAGGACCAAAGAAGATATAGAGAGCATAACAAAATGTAAAATAGATAATTTTGATTATATAAAATTTAAAAGTTTTTACACAAACAAAGCCAATGTAGCCAAAATTATAAGGAAAGCAGAAAACTAGGGGAAATTTTTTTTTGGCAACAAGTATCTCTGATAAAGGCCTCATTTCTCAAATATATACAGAACTGAGTCAAATTTATAAAAAAACAAATCATTCCCCAATTCATAAATGGTCAAAGGATATGAACAGGCAGTTTTCAAAGAAATCAAAGCTATCTATAGTCATATGAAAAAAATGCTCTAAATCACTATTGATCAGAGAAATGCAAATTAAAACAACTCTGAGGCACCACCTCACACCTAGCAGAATGGCTAATATGACAAAAAAGGAAAATGTTGGATGTTGGAGGGAATGTTGGAAAACTGGGACACATGCACTGTTGGTAGAGTTATGAACTGATGCAACCATTCTGGAGAGCAATTTGGAACTGATGCCCAAAGGGCATACCTTTTGATCCAGCAATACCACTGCTGGGTCTATATCCCAAAGACACCCCAAGGACCTATTTGTACAAAAATATTTATAGCAGCTCTTTTTGTGGTAAGAATTGGAAATCGAAGGGATGCTCATCAATTGGGGAATGGCTAAACAAGTTGTGGAATATGATTGTAATGGAATATTATTCTGCTGTAAGAAATGACAAGCAGGATGATTTCACAAAAACCTGGAAAGACTTACATGAACTGATGTATAGTGAAGTGAACAGAACCAGGAGAGCACTGTACACAGTAACAGCAATATTGTTCGATGAAGAACTGTGAATGATTTAACTATTCTCAGCAATAAAATGATCCAAGAAAATCCCATTTATGTAGCACTTTAAAGTTTAAAAACTGTTTAATGTTTATTGCCTCATTTAAGCCTCTCAAGTTGAATTCTGTGAAGTTGGTGCTGTCATTCTTCCCATTTTACAGATGAGAAAACTCAGGTTGAAAGAGCTTGTGACTGGACCCTGGTAACACAAGTGGTAAGCATTTAAGGTAGGATTCAAATTCAGGTCTTCTTGATTCCAATTCTCATATTCAATCCACTGTACCACCTAGCCATCTCTAAGGTGTGGTTTTGTCCTTTTAGGTTCTGTGAAGGAAGCCTAGTAGCCAGGGGATCCTGAAGGGCCACAGAGCTGGGGACCACCTCTCTCCCACCATGCCCTGTATCCCATTTCTCCCCACTTCATATGATGGTATTTTCTAGATAGGGAAACTGAGTCCCAGGGATGGGAAGCTTCTTTGTTGTTGTTCAGTCATGTCTGACTCTTTGTGACCTCATTTGGGGTTTTCTTGGCAAAGATTCTGGAGTGCTTTTGCCATTTTTAACAGATGATGAAACTGAGGAAATGAGGCAAACAGGGTTAAATGACTTGCCCAGGGTCACACAGCTAATAGGCTGAGGTCAGTTTTGAACTTAGGTCCTCCTGACTCCAGGCCAAGTGCTCTATCCACTGCACCACATGGCTTCTTTACCCAAGATCAATAAGTCAATCTATCAACAAGCACTTATTAAGCTCCTTCTATATGCCAAGCTCTGGGTTAGGAACTGGGGATACAAATACAAAAAATGAAATGCTTCCTAACTGCACAGAGCTTACATTCATTCTAAAAAGAGAGACAACGAATACATATATAAGTGTAGGGATATGGGCTATTTCCTGTGATTTTATTGGCATTGGGAACTCCCAGGGGAGGAAACCTTATCTACTAAGGCAGGTGAACACCTTTCGAAATGCAGAGTTGGAGAGAGTAGACCTGTGGCAGAGAAGTGAATTTACCTGTCCTGGGTCACACAGGCAATGTGTGTCAAAGCAGAGACTACATATGAGTACAGATAAATCGGTAGAGGATAAATCTAAAGTAATTTAATAAGAGGGAAGGCACCTGAAGCTGAGGGGATCAGGAAAGGCTTAATGAAGAAGGTGACACTATAGCTGCCTCTTGAAGGGGGAGTGTATGAGGCTCAGGCACATTTAGGAAACTGTATCATGACTAGAAGAGCAAGAGGTCAACAATGGTTTTAAAATGCACAAGCATGTAATAGTAATACAATAAAAATAGGACCTAAATCTTCTCTAACAATGTAAAATTCAAAAAATGCATCATTTGGCGTGGAAATATGTTAAACTCAACAGAGAAACCAGCAGCGATTGGGAGGAGGGACCATTTGCAAGCAAAACAAATTTTCTGATCAAAGGGAGATTCAAAGGGGAAAAAATATATATACATATATAGATGGAGGGAGAGAGAGAGAGAAAGCGAGAGAGAGAGAGAGAGAGAGAGAGAGAGAGAGAGAAAGAGAGAGAGAGAGAGATCTAGAGTCTTAAGAGGCACTCATCATTTGGTGACTGGCTTATCAAATTATGGTTTATCAATATAACAGAATATTATTGCGCAGAGAATCCTGGGAAGCCCGCTATGACCCGATAACAGTGAGGTGAGCAGAACCAAGGAAATGGTTTATACAAGGACAACAACCTTGCAAAGAAAAAACACTTTGAAAAACTTAAGAATTTAAGAACATGAGCTATCATGTCTCCAGATGACGTTTGATGAAGCACGTTACCCATTTCCTGAGAGAGGTAACGATCTCAAGGTGTTGTGCAACTCAAAATACAACGGACGAACTAGTCAAGTTCACAGAAGTTGCAAACCCCGGCAAACCCAAAGACTCTATACGCATGTGCAAGGCGGAAAAGCCTCTGAGTTTTGGAATTCATGCTCCTGACGAGCTCCAGTAGGTGGCAGTCATCGGGTCGGCTAGAGCGTCCATCGAGTGGGGAGGGATAGTCTATCCTTCTTCACTCGTTGCCTCTGGAAGACCAGGAAGTGGAGGCTACAAATCCCAGAGTTCCACGCTCTCTCCTTCCTTCTGCTGTGGCTACTTTGGGCCTACAGTAGGTGAGCAGAGGGACCGACTGGGGAATCCGGCGCCATCCGCGGCCCAGACCGTTTCCCACCCCATTCCCGAAGGCAGCCCGAAGGGAGGGATGAGGGCTCTTGGGGTCTCGGGTCTAGGGAGGCGGGTGGGTGTCCAGGAGGCCTCAAGGAGCTCTCCGCGATTACTCTGTCTCCCTCTACAGCGCTGCAGCCATGGCCATCCGATACCCCATGGCCGTAGGCCTCAACAAGGGCCACAAAGTTACCAAAAACGTTTCCAAGCCGCGACACTGCCGCCGCCGTGGGGTGAGTCGAAAGCCGAGTCCGGCGAGCATGGGGGACGGGGAATGGTGCGGGGTGGGGGGCGGTGGGACTCTGTGGTTGTGCGCACGCGCAAGGGTGCCCTGGGTTTGCCGGGGGGCACGTGTCCTCGAGGGACCAGGCGCTGCCTGGAGCCCCCTGCCTCATGGTGGATTTGGGGCAAGCATTGGGGCAGGGTTGAGTGTATGGTGCTGGGAGTCAGTGCTCTTGCCCTGCTTAGCATTTCTCCGGCCCCAAGCTGAAACTCAACGATCGTGGCTTTAGAGCAGTAAGGGAGCGATCCTTTGGGACGGCTGATCCAGTCTTCTCCGTTTTACAAATGGAGCACTCGAGTCTCTCATGGAATAGCTATGGGTAGTTGGACCTGGCCTAACAATAATTTTCTCCCATTTCTGCCCCACTCTCCATGAACAGGCATTGTGGCAATGCCCAAACGGCATCCTT